GTGTGTGTATGTGTGTGTGTGTGTGTGTGTTTGTTTGTTTTTTTATGGCACGCATGTATGATGATACGTATTTTGTACATATATGCACGTGTAGCTCTTGTTTCAGCGATTCATTTTCTTCAAAGCTTATATGCATTTGTCGGGCTCGGTGCCTGCGGATAGGATTCTGAAGCCAGAATTCCTTCCAGGCCCGTACGTTATATATTGTATACATATATGTATGCAAGTATCCAATGTCCTGTCCATCCCGCCGAGGAATGGTCCCATCTTCACTATCGGGTAATAGCAATTCCCTGGGCTATCGTTCACTTGTATTGCACCCGTTTCTGATATATTGTACTGTTTCTGTCCACAGTCCCATTCCGTGAGGTCAAGGACTCTTACATTGAGCGGATCGCAGAGTTGACACTGGAGGAGATCCCCGACCAATTAGTCGGCTACATGCGCGCTAATAACATACAACCGAACCCACCATTACCTGCGGTAAGTGCACTACCACTACAGCTGTGACTGGGTAGTAATACATAGTACATAGCACACACGATGAAGTACAACATACACCCTAACCCACCATTAAGTGCACTACCACTACAGCTGTGACTGAGGTAGTGTCTTCGGCCGTTGTTAGACATAGTACATAGCACATACGATGAACTATAACATACATTCTAACCCACCATACCTGCGGTAGTGTCTTCGGCTGTGGTTAGAGATAGTACATAGCACTTACTATGAAGTATAACATACAACCTAACCCACCATTACCTGCGGTAAGTGTACTACCACTACAGTTGTGACTGCAGTAGTGTCCTCGGCTGTTGTTGGGCATAGTACGATGGATATAGTACGGAGTGTTTTGTATTCGCATTGGTAGCCCTGTTACGATTTTAGGGGCTTCGGGTCATGGAGTGCGCCAAGTGCATATAAATCAACCAACCTCAAACCCTAAAAACCCTAAACCGCAAGCCCTAGAAACCCTAAACCCGAAGCCCTATTATTGAGTGAATTAAGTGCATAGAAATCGGAGAATCTATTTGTTCGGCTACACGCATAATAAAACACCACCTGAACAAATTAGTACGCGCGAGGATAGGCTCTATACGCCCCTGTAGATAGTATGCTGGTTGACTCTGAGCGAACGTTATGATCACGTGATGAGTTTGAAATAGGTCCTGATCCATTAGACGTACAGTACAGGAAGATATCCCAGTGAAGTTTGCTAGTATAAAACTACACCTTTGTAAACCCTAAACCCTAACACTCGAAAACACTAAAACCCTGTCGCAGAACCATAATGCGGATTTGACTTCACTGGGCAACAGCCGCAAGTCCTTCCACATGGGTAACATCCCCGCATTCAACCAGGGAGTGAGAAAGAACACCAAGTCAACCATGACTAACCATGCACTGGAAGCGGCCCTTATCAATAGTACCAAGAACCCCAATCCATTGCGCTCGTCCATGTATTCACTGTCAACAGCTAATCTCCGCACAGGTATTAACACCTTTTGTCGTTAGTGGGCGTATATTTATGTATACTATTAGATGGACGTATTTTGTGTGTATTTGTGAATATTAACGCATTATCATACATTGCAAGTAAATT